GTATTTTGTGGAATATCCCGCAGTTTGGGTTTGTCTGCTGTTTTCTCATGATTCGACTAAGGCTCTGAGGTTTAGGGACTGGGAGACATACCAAGCCCTTCCTATCACATAGCAGGGGAACATAACGCCAACATGGCTTATCACTACTCATCTTCACCTCCATCACCTAGTCAAGGTGGTATCTGCCAGGTGTCTCCACTGTTACAACTTTCGTCTTCCCAAGATCTAGTCTTTGGAAGCAAGTCTCTACTGCCATTTCACACTCAAAAGGAGGGAGAAACTGGAGAGTTTTAAGAAGGGTAGAAACAAGAAGTGATTGGCTAATAAATGATGGTCACTGAGGAAGCCTCTCTTCTGAGCGGTGAGACTCTGGATCGACATCTTAGTGAAAGCTGTGTATCTTAAAGCCTATTCACATTGCCTCCTGTTTATTTTCGTGGTCACTTTTAAGGTGAATGCCATACCCTCTAGGATTCTGACCTAACTCAGTGATATGCCACTTGGCAAGTATTCTAGGGAAAGAGGTATTTTCTGTAATCCTCAGTGATAGTCCCCACAGGGCTACTTGGTGTGCAGCCCCCCACTTTTGCTCCTATTACTCAAATACCCAGAGACCCAAGGCTCCTGCTTTTGACCACAGGCCTCTTTGGGCAAGGACAACAAGGAGTGTGGCTGGAGTAGTTTGTGGCTGGGTGTGGAGAGCAAAGCAGATCCTAAGGGGAGGAGGCTCGAGGAGGTGGTAAGGTCATAAAATGAAATACCCTGCAACACCAGCCATCAAAAAGGAGAAAGTGGAGCTGTCAGAATAAGAAAGGCCAAGTGTACTGTGTTTGAATAAAACATTTTGTGGAACAGCTTTGTGCAGTGTGATCCCATGTGTGACTGAAAGATGGAAGAGCATAGTGGACACATACCAACACATTAAACTGAAGCTGGGAATGTGGTGGGAAATTTTATTTTTTCTGTTGTGATTTATATATAGCAGTCACATTCTTTTTTTAAAAAATAGACTTTCATACATATTTTTTAAAAATTGTATTCTACCTTGATTTCCTTTCCCAAGCTCATCAGTGATGATTCTTACACTGGCCTGATCTACCTGCTGAATATTCCATACTGACCCTTCATAAACCAAGGAGGACCTAGAGAGCCAATGGCCTGAGCACCTAAGCTAGCTGGCTTTTTTGCTCCTGGGGGATTTTCTGTCACAGACAGGTAGTAAAGGGAGCTGAGTGGGGAGATGCGCCTTATTCCTTTTGCAAACCACTGGCACCCGACTGCCTTCATGGTCCATGCATTATTCTGCCCCCATGAGGCCTGGGCTGCCACTCAAGGCTCCTCCCACACACCACCGTCAGCTGACCCTCTTCCCAGGGTCCATGGGTGAGCACACACAGGTAGGAAAGCAAGGGCTCTGGGGTCAGGTTGGCATGGTCTCAGGCCAAGTTCACCTTCTAGAGCCTGGGTCTCTTCATCTGTGAACAGGGTAATGCAAGCACTAGTGGTACATGAGGGGAAAGAAAACAACAGGTAAAAAGCACTTGGTTGGCATTGTGCCTGCATCTGGTAAATACTCAAGTGTCAGTCACATGTGATGGAAACAGATCCTATTATTCATGTGTTCAGATGATGTGGTGGTGGAAATGCTACATCCTCTCACATGGCTAGCTGTAGGACAGAAATACAGTTTGAGGTCACTTGTCCATTCCTTTGTGACAGACCTCTCACTAGATCGTTGATTAACACAGTTAACAAATATTTATTGACTGCCATTCAGATGCCAGAGGCAGTACCAGAAGCTTCCCAGAGGTGTGAGAAATATGGAAATACTGACCCCTTGAATCAGGGCAGTGGGCGTGGCCAGGGAGGACAGAGACCCTGGGCCCTGCAGTGCTGCTCCCATTAGCAAGTGACCTTGGTGGTTTACCTCAGTGGCAGTTTCTACATGCTGTGAGACAGGCCAGGCAACACCAAGATCACAAACAAAAGAGGCTGAGCTTCCTGCCCTCGTCTTTCTCATCCTCTAACGAGACCAGACAGGCTGTGAACAAGGCAGCAGGCGATGGAGTCACTGCTTATTGCAGGACCGACAGGAAGGAACCAAGAAGACATTAGAGAGAACCAGGGTGATGCTAAGAGGAGGGGATTGCTGATGACATCATTACCACTGAAGTCACTTTGGGGCAATGTTTTGTAGGATATATCAGAGATTGGCTCATACATGCTTGAAAATCAGTTTCCTAGAGATAGAAATCCTGGCTTTACAACTCACACACTGTATGACCTGGGACAAGCCCCTCTGATGGTCTCCTATCCCTACCCATATGTTGGAGGTGAGCAGATGTAGATCAGTGATTTTGAGAGGGTCACATACTTCTCTGACAATCTGGAAAGTCTCTCACAGACAGAAAGCTCACAGAAATTTATCTATAATGCCAAAAGGCTCCCTTAAACCCCCACAAATCCCAGGCTATAAACCAGTGGCCTTCGTGACCTATGGAATCCTTTCTGGTACCGGCTGGTACCTGTGTCTGAGGCATCCTTGGGAAGCCTCTTTGATGTGAGTTGGGATACCATGTTTTAAGTTAAAGTGCCCAAAGATAGTAGACTCAACAACAGCCAGCATCAGTAGGGGGCAGGTAATACAAAAAGCAAGCAGGCTGGGATAAGGGACACCAGGTGCAAATGCCATGCTCAGTGTCATCAGCATTCAGTCCAGGAGCTGGACTGTGGAAGTGGAGGGGATGCTATGAGACCCTGCCCAGTTGGGGAAGGGCAGCTGCTTTTCAGCTCCAGTCAATTGCTGCCATGGGGAGTGGGTGCCCAGATCTTTCTTTTTCAAGAGTAGCTTTAGATTTGGGTTTGAAAACTTCTTCATTTTCAAATAATGACAACCAAGTTTTTGAGAACACACTGGGCCAACAGTTTGTGACTTCCTCCTACAGGGTCCAGATGCCAGGCAGAAGGTGGAGAAACTTGAGACTAAGAGGCGAGGCGACAAGAGCTCATTTATTGTTGCTCTCCCATCTGAATTAAGTTCTCACCTCTAAGGTATGTGTAATGACATCCACCTGAGCTGGGCACTCCACTGTCTACTCGGTCTTATTAGAAAGGCAATGACTCTGCCAAGGTCATCCTAGTGAAGATGGCGGCCGAACAGGGACCTGAGCACTTGGACTGTAAGGCAGTACTCTTCCCACCACATTCCCTCAAGAGGAATGGCCTGTGGAAGTGGCAGTCACTTTTTAGAGTCCCAGGATCCTGCTGTCTTACTCCCGGAACTGGTCCTTCCTTGATAGACTCTGGTTCACTAATCTGATTAGACTCCCGCGTCTCAGCATGCCTTAGTAGTCCAAGGCTGCCTGGAGCATTAGGGTGTCCTGAGGGTTGAGAGGAGCACTGCTGATAACATGGATGTCCCCCACTCCGTATCCCCACCGCCCCCCACCACCACCCTGGTTACTTTGGCTGTCTGACCTCTGCCCCATCCATCTACTCCAAGGCAGGCACAAAGAGGAACATGACTTTGCTCCTGGAATAGCAGCGAGGGGTGGCCTGTACCCATCACCCTGTGTGTACCTCTCTCCCCACAGAGCTGCTGCACGCCCCTGATTAAGCCACCAGACCCCACTTCTGAATTCTCTGGAGCAATTTACAGCTCCCTTTCTCTTCCAGGAAATTCTTGCCTGCCCTTGTCCACCACAGCCCAAATAATTCCTTAGGTCAGGGGAAGGAATTCCTCTTGTGATTGCAGACTCAATCAGGATGGCTAACCAAGAGCAATGTCATTCGTTGATAGAGGAGCTGGCTGCCTGGGGCCTGAATATTTTATATGGGGTTTTGTGGTGCAGTGGTCAGACCCAGGTTCAAGGTCCATCTCAATTAGTCTAAAGGCATCTTGGTTAAAACAAACCACCTATTCTCTAGAACAAGTGGGAAGGAAACCTTTTTCTGGGGACACAGAAAAGCATCCCAGGGAGGCAAAATTTGGGTTGGGTCTTAGAATTAGAGTAGGACCTTGGCATGCATTGCATAGGATTTTGGAGGAAGGCCCATTACTTCAAGGCTGTGTAGCCTTGGGCAAGTGACTCAATCTCTCTGGGCCTGTTTCCTCCTCTGGAAAATGAATATCAACGTAAGTTGTTATCAAGATTGTAAATAATAATACTGAATCTACTCTCAGAAGCCATAGCTTTTATGATTTCATAAGGCCACATGACCTTGAATCAGTAAAAGCTTCCTAGAGTCAACAAAACTGCAGGGATCCCAACAACTGATTCCAGTTAGAGCATTGCCTGGAGCTCCATTCTTTTGCTTTGTGGATGGTGAATTTTTTGTTCTGAGTTCTAAGCCTTTTCCTCTCTGACCAAGTCAGGAGACCAGTCGAAAGTTTACCTGAGTCTCTTCAGATACAAGAAAGAAAGAGGCCAGACCCAAGGGAGAATGTGGGAGAGGAAGGGAACAGGGAGCATTCCAAACCTTGCAACAGTTAATGTTAATATAGGCGTCGGTATAGGAGGTGTCTTCTAATGACAGAAGGAAACGAGGGAGTTTTTCAATCATCTCCTGCTTAACAGATACAGATGTATTCATAATTATCCCTTGCCTCAGGCCTCCAGGCCCAGGTGGGCTCCAGAAGGCCTGTGTTCCTGCCAGACAAGAGTCCTTAAAGAACACCATGTAGACAATTGGAATGCCATTTATCGTGCAAAACACAATAAAACCCCCACGTTCTCTTCCTGTCTCAGAGACCCATAAATTATACCTGCCCCAGGCCATGGACATATTGTTTTATTAAAGTTCCAATGAATAAACTTAAGGCTCTTAAAAACGTCCTCTCGGCTTTCATCTGGCACACACCTCTAGCATGGACCCATCTGCCTGGGTTCATTTGATTAGTTCACAGTCATACTTTAGCAAGTTGAGCTCATTTCCAGGGGCAAGATCAGTAGGCTGCTGGGGCTGCGGGCAGCGGGGGAGGGGGGGGTTGCTTGGGGAGAGCCCCAGGGCCTCCTGATGAAATGACAACGTCACCCAAGGGGTTCCAGGTGTCTGCTGTCAGAGCTGGGGCTTTCCCAGACTCTTTGTTCTTGGGGGGGTGGGATGAATACCAGTTTGAGATACGTGTGTGGCTATGGGTTAGAGGGCTGAAGTTCTGCTTTAGTCCATCCTGTGGTCTCCCCAGTTGGTTACTAAAAGTTCAATTGTCTTGAACTTACCCATCAGTGATGTTTTGGGCATCAGTGTTTACTCTGAAGTTCAGTTTCTGCATCTCGAGTAGGGAGCTAACAATGGCATCTACCATGTATGTTCAAAAATACTAACCATTTTTATCATCCCATAGTCATCTCATGAATGGTAACCAAGAGGAATAGGGATAGTGAGGGAGAGAAAAACAAGTGAGGCACATGTAGAACATTCTCTCTGAACACAGATTAAAAAAACAAGCACGTACATTTAGTTCCCATTTCCTGGGTAGTGAGACTCTCACCCAAGGCCCTGAGATATGTTTTTGGTATATTTTAACATATCTCCACTCATCAACAGACCCCCCCCCACCACCCAAGTCTGGCACACAGTACAATCAGGGCTGAGCAGATTAAGAAAAGCACCAAGCATTGTCCTAAGAAATAGTTACTTACCTTCTCAGGGAAGGAAGACTCTGAAACATTAATAACCCTCCTCCCTCACATAGAAACATGACAAACCACGAGTCCAGCAAAAAGGGAAAGTGAAGACTGTTTAAAGTTCCAGAGCACACAAAACCATGTTGAGGAAGCACATCCATTGTGCCTCTTGGGCAGTGACCCGAGAGTCCTTGGAATGTTTGTTTGGATGTCCCATGTTTGAACCCATGGCTTTCAGTGTTGGGAGACATCATATTGGTGGCTTCTAAAGAAATGAAGACCTGGACCCAGGGCTCTCGCTCATCTCCCCCAATCTCCCTGCCCCCCTTCGTTAGTTGTCTTGCCCCAACTGTTTGATAACAGGAAAAAAGTCTTTTGACTATTATCCAGAACCTCTTCTTTAGAAAAGAAGTGTTCACATGCTCAAAATAAAAGTTCAGGGCTCATTGTGATTGGATCAGTAATTAAAGGTAATAAAAAAACCCCATGAGCTATACAAAGTGAGAGGTGGAGTGGCTGGGTCTCAACCAAGCTTGGGTGTATCCAGGAAGTGGTGAGAGGGGAAGCTGGTGGAAGGTGTATTAGAAGGCAAAGGTGCGCCCATTAGGTGGATGATGGCTAGAAGTTAAAGGAATTGGTTTTGCGCTACATCCACCACTCTAGTGAAAGTCAGGAAACCACCAATAGTGTTGTCGTTTGCCTTCTTGTAGCATGTATACAAACACTTATTTGGGGGGCAGCAGGGCATTAAGGGGGAAGACCTGCAGTATTTGGAGGCAAAGGACAGGTCAGAGTAGTTTTTCTCACTTCCATTGGCAGGACTCTGCTTCCTATAGCTTTCCTCCAGCGGATCCAGGGTCATTCTGAAAGCAGGGCCTCCAAAGCCCTCTCCCCACCCTTTTGTGCTGCCAGCTTGGGCATTTCCATCTGGTGGGTAAACCCCGACAGACTTGGGGCATTGCTGGGTGAGGATGTCAGGGCGCAAAACACACAAATGCATGAGAAACGGCGATCCTGTATATATTTAACAATATATATTTATATATATTTTCTAGATCAGTACATTCAGTTTTTAACTTGTTTTTTCTTCACAAACAGAAGAACTCTTACAATAGTAGACTTTCTAAAATAAATACTATTAAAATAGAGCTTCAAAATAAATATTCTATACAAAGGAAACCTTCTGTGGTAACTTTTGTTGAGGGGTAAGAAGGGGCTACAGTGAAGGGGGGAATGGAGTAGGAACGTGGAGGGGTGGGAACCTTGAACAGCTTTTCTGTTTGTAACACGAAACCAAACTGTGGGGCAGTGACAGGAGAAAGCAAGATTGTGAAGACACCGCATGGAGTCACCCACAGCAAAAAATGGCAGCACAAGATTTGTCACCAACTGTCACAGTAAGCAGAGGGCATGAAAAGATGCTTACCCAAGGCATGAACCAGAAGCTTGCGGGGGCACCCCAGTGAATTATACAGTGCAAAGCTGTGCCACCCCCACCCCCCAGGCAGCTCCTGGGGCAGCATGGGAGAATATGATGGCATCCGGATGCTGGTCCCCACCAACTTTCCATGTCCGGCAACCTGGGGCAAGTCTTCACCTAACTGGGCCTCACTCGATTTACAATGGGGACCCGTGAAGACTCCAGATGCTGAAAGACCAACATATCCCGTGAAGGTCTTCCAGCTCCACCAGCTAAGGGGGCCATTTCAACAGCAGGAATTGGTCTTCACCTCCCTTCCAGCCAGGGGCTGTGAAAGGTCTTGTTTGTGCCCCATCATCTACCCCAGACCCAGTTCCCAGGGAACTTGCTGGAGTGTTGGGGCCTTCACAAACCCTTCCTTGGGGGTGGGGGGGTGCAGCCAAGGCCCCTAGGAACATTGTCCTGGACCCCGGCTTGTGGATCCCAGCCCTAGTTGCAGGAAGAATCACCACCCACCCCAGGATAACCAGAAATGGGAACCAACTGGCACTTTTCAAAAAAGGTCAAGACAAGGCAAAATCCAGCCAAGTAAGCCGCTGGTGACAGGAAACACAACCATTCCCAAGCAGCCACAGAACTGTGCTGTGTTTCTGAGAGTTTGGTCGCTCAGTGGCCTTGAATGGCCCCCGGGGTCCACGGGCAAGCCAACTTTCTTTTGTATTTTGCCAAGATGCCGAGAAAAACATGCTGAGGGATTGCTACACAACAGAGCTGGGAGAACCCACACCGCTTCACTCCTTCCCTTTCCACTGAGCACAAGGGACACTGAGTTCTGCAGACATCCATCTAGCAGGTTAAATGCAAACCAAAGAACAAGCCAAAACAGGAAGACAAAAAAAAAAGAAAAAGAAAACCAAAACCCAGAAAGATCCGTGTTTACAACTATGTACACAAAAAGTCAGGGTTCAGGAGGCTGTTCACCAGGAAATGGGGTCTATGTAGATAGTTAGTGTGGGGCAGGGTGTGTGTGTGTGTGTGTGTTTGTGTGTATACACAGCTTATGTAAATCAATTCTCCACAGAACAGGGGTGTAGAACACCAAGATCACCAAAGTACAACTTGCCACTGGGTCAAGTTTCCTGTGGAGACATCTGAGGGAGGGGCTCTGGGAAAAGTAGAGGCCTCGCCAAGAGCGGACATGTGCCCTCTTTTTGGGGGGTAACCTCTGCACACTTATTGTGAGAAAACATCTCCAGTCCCTTCAGTACACATCTGATACATTCAATTTGTGTTAAGTGGTTGGCTGAATGTGTTTTTCTACCATTCCCTCCAATTTGTGCAAGATCATCCATACATCCTTCACCACCGTGGCAAGGGCAGCTACATGAATCAGCCTTAGAAAACGCAGATGCAGTTTTTCATATTTGCCTTTTACAAGCTAGCAAATGTTATATAAATAAAGCCTAAAATAATAAGACCCCCCCCTCCTGTCCTCCAATCAATAAATACCTATGGTTACAATTAAGTTATGCTAAATCATAAGACGTTATTACTAGTCTTCAGGAAGGAAAAAAAGTTCTTGAGAAGCATTGGGTGCATGCCAATCACAGCTACCTGCCTCCGGGCCTCCTTCCTGGAGGCAGTTCTGTCCTGACAGAACTGGAAATGCTACAAATGCTCCACCTGATGCACTTCCAGTTTCACCTCGGGGAGATTTTCTGACCCAGGCAGCTTCCTCTCATTTGAGGGGGAACACAAAATACCACACAAATCAAACCCCCACACACAACAGCTGGGGAGGAAGGACCAGACACACTACAGCTTTTGCATGCAACAAGTACCTACCCACGGGACGGGCTGCACTTTCTGAGTCCTTTAGCACCTTGAGAGAAAGAGTTGCTACGACTTTGGGGGCTGTCAGGAGGGGTGTTACGGCCACGCACAGAAGTAGGGCTCAATCCCAGGAAGCCCCTCGAAAATCCCCCTCCCACACGCTTGACTTCCCCACCGGGACTTCCTAACACTAAAATAGACGTTTTCCCCCATCACCTGTCTATTTACATTAAAGATACAGACACATCACTGTACATAAAAGGCTATGACAGCAAGCAGCAGAATCAGAGGAGAAGAAACCCACACCCAGCTCGGCTCAATTGTCATTCTGCCAATGGGAGGTGCTGCCTCTCTTCTTTGCTGTTAAAATCCTCTTCTGGGAGGGGGGGGGATTGTGTTCCTTGAGGTTGCTCACCCCCAGATTTTAAAATCAGCCCTTCCTGGGGGTGGCCCAAAAGGAAGCAAGTGTTTTTATTGTTATTTTTTAAAAACACCGTTAGCATCTGGTTTAATTATTCTATAAAAACATAATGACTGGATCCAGAGACCACAGCCTCAGACTCATTGGCAAAATGATATTTGGTCTCGCATTTGCCGCCCTGGGCTTCTCTACCCATAAAATTTCAGGAAGGGTAGAGAGAACTCAGGACACTTAGCGGGCAGGTGAGTCTGTGACTCGGTTAAGAACCGAAGGACGGTGTTATGAGTGGAACACCCCCAAGAGTTAGTGAAGCTGGAAGGGAGAGATGTGCTGTCCGTGGCTCCAGGGAGGCAGAGCGAGGAAAGCAGCAGGGACCCACTGGCGTCCGCTGTTCTCAGAGGGCGCCCAAGTGTATACAACAGGGATCACCAGGGGCTATACCTCCCCAAGATGTCGAGGGCAAACTGAGGAGGGGCGGGGTGGAGGGAGAAGGTATAGACGGGCAAGATTCCAAGGGTCTTCTTCAAAGGTCCCCTGGCAAGTTAACGATTCCTCCCAGGCAGCTGAAGAGAATGGAAAAGAAGGGGGAGTGAGGGAGGGAGGAGGAGAGACTGGGAAGGAATTCAAGCAGCTGCAACTTCCGGATATGTGTCCACATCTGTGTTCCGTCTTCTGAAAAAGAAAAATCTCCTCCCCCTGCCCCTCCCCCCAGCCACAGCACACCCCTGCCACTGTCTGACACCAAGTTCCAGGACCCTAAAAAAAACAAAACAAAACAACCCAAAGTGCTTCTTCATCCTTTTGGGACTAGAGGGTGGGCGACGGTCTGTTTCTTCGGAATCTGGAGGGGAGGATGGGGGACGTAGCAGAGAGCAAGGACAGCCTCAGGAGGTTGAAACCTCTGGCCTTGCTGCGGGTCTTCTCTAGTGTCAGAAGGGAACCAAGTTTCCAGGGGGAGCTCAGGGGATTCGACCCAAAGCGTCAGAAAGGCTTGTCGGGTCTGCTGGCCTTGGCATCTCCGGTGGCTGCCTTGCAGATGACACTGTTCGTGTGCTTGCAGCGGCAACCAGGGCGGCGCAGGCGGTCATAGCCACGCTGGGCCAGCTTCACGCAGCCAGTGGCCGGCAGGTAGCAGAGCAGGCAGGGCAGCACCAGGGAAAGGGCACCCATGAAGGACCAGCGGGCGCAGCAGTTTGAGTGGGAGCAGGAGCAGGGGTGGTCAGCGCAGGAGCCCTCATCGTCCTCATTGGTGCAGTGGTAGAAGATGCCTTGCACCAGGCACATGCAGGTGCCGTAGTTGACTAGGGTCTGGGCTGAGCACAGGCACTCCTGGTTGCAGACCCAGCAGGAGGGCAACGTCCGGGGGGACGCACACTCCTTGCACTTGCACTTCCCACAGGCCTCACACAGCAAGAAGTGCTTGTCCAGCTCTGGTGGCAGCACTGGGCCCTTGAGGTCCAGTGGCTTGCAGTGGATCACCTTGGGTTGAATGCGCACGGCCCTCGGGGAGGCTTGGTCAGCCACGGGCGGTGGTGCCATGTGGTCTAAGAGGCGCTGGTCAGACGACGTGCTGCTGCTGCTGCTCACAGAGCTGGGGCGCCCACTGAAGGAGATCCAGTGGTGGGTGACGTCCTGGTCACAGCGGGCGGGTGTCGGGGCCAGTTCTGGGGCTCCACCCCGGGTCCGCTTGGGACCAGTGGGGGGAGCCAGGCCAGGGTTGTCTATATAGTCGTTCTCCACGTGACTGGTCTTCATCTGGTCGATGGGTAGGATGGTGAGTGGGTGCTGGAGCCGACTGTGGGGCATACGGCTGTCAAGAAGGGGCTGGACCATGACTGAGCTGGGAGTCAAAGGAGCACTCTGTGGGATCGGGGGCTCCATGGGGCTGGAAGTCCTGGACTGCGCTGAAAAACAGGCTTCTAGGGGCCCTGGGGAGGTGGGGAAAAGGAAGAGAGAATGGATTAGAGGCATCAGTAAGTGACCTGTTGACATCCCCAGTCCCCATCATCTCCTCGGGACCCCACGTGAAATGGGAACTAGATTCCCACAGTGGGACTCTCCAGCATCAAGGTTTAGAAAGGTGATTAATAATGACAAGTGGTAGAAATAACATTTATTGAGCACTCAATACATGCCAGGCACTCTCCTGACCAACACCTATAGGTCATTGACTTTTCACAGTAACCCTAAAACACAGGTACTGCTACTATCCCTTTTCTATAGTTACAGAAAACTAGTATCCGAAGTGACTTGTCACAGAAAACTATCAGTAACAGAACCAGGGCTTGAACCTGGGCCGCCCAAGGTCATTGCCACTATCCTATGAAGCATGCTCCTTGGTACAACTCAGTGGTTGGAAACACGGGCCCTGGATTCAGATCCAAGTTCTGAATTCTCACCTCTGCCTAGCAATCTTGGCATGCCTGAGGTTGTTTACCTTAGTTTTATCACCTCTTGAATGGGTTCTTGTGGGAATTAAATGAGAAAATGAAAGGCCAGTACCCAGCATCATGCCTGGCACATAGCAAACGTTCAGTAATTTATCATCATCCCAGAGAGCAAGTTGAGATTTCCTGAGCATTAATAAGCACTGCATGCTATTGTGCTGACTACGACAGACAGTCCCTGTGTACTCCCTAGGAGTTTATCAGTTGGATAAACAAAAGCTTTTATTTCAGATAGTCACAAGAGAAGGGTGGGCCGCACCTGATGCGGCACTCCAGGACATTAACTTATTACCACCGCATCTAAGAACAGCAACCTTCAGCAGCTAATAACCCCTGGGTAGGTGCACTTCTGACAACTTGGATGGGAAATCCTCTCGAGGGGCACTCACATCACCCATTTCTAAGTGCTGAGCTGAACATTCAGTGTAAATGCTATTTACTAGAATAGCTAAGCCAACCCTGGATCAGTTTCTAATTTCACCGAGAGAGTGCAATTTTAAGTTGGAATCTGGCCAGAGATTCAACTGCAGTGCCTGACACGGAACCCCAGGAAGTCACTTAAATCAAAGAGCGGAAACGGCTTGGTTCAAATTTAGAAAGTGCACATTGTTTTCTATTAGAAGTGCCATTTCCTCGCCTGCTGACCTTTACATTCGGAATTCGGCTGGAGATCAATTTAAAGAAATAGCATCAGAAGGCCAAGACCTCTGCCCAAGGGAAAAAGATTTGGAATCTAAGAGAAAGAGTAGACTCTGGGAAGATTCCACCAGGGGGTGGGGGCGGGGCCTAGAACGGGGATGATTTGATAACTGTCTTAAAAATGAGAGGAAAAAAAAAAAAAACACTGAATTACTGTGTCAGGGAGTGGGGTTTTCAGTAAATGCTTTCTTCAAGATACTAATGAAGTTCTAAGTAGGAGTGGCCATAATGTCCTTCTTGCCTGTCTGAGGATAGGTTTCCACTTCCAGTTAATCCCATATCCTTCCAGACTCAGGACACAGGTTGTCCATCCTAGCATTTTCATCACAGGACATCGACACCTCACCCCTAGCAAGGCATCCACACTTACCAGTGTCTACAAGTAAAGAGTGACTAGAGAAGGGGGGAAAAAAAGGCACTCAGGGCAACTCAGTCTTTTTCTTCCCCTGCCTTGAAACAACAGTTTGATCAGAAATGGTTCAATAATTGGGGAAGGGTTTCCCCTAGACTATATGAAATTAAGAGGTAGCACCAGATGCAAAGTGCAGGAAAGGAATTAAGAGAGTTTATCCAGATGAGGGTTATCACCTGTATACTATCTATATTGAGAAATACCAAAAAAAAAAAAAAAATCACTGCATTTTTTCCTACAAGGTTCAATGCTCAGTCAATTGATCTTTCCCACTGGCATAGGGCAAGGGCTATTGGCTTTGCTCCCAAGATTTTACCTACTGAAATGCTGGTATTTCTGTTTTTCCCATTTAAGAGAAAGTCTCTGGCTAGTGGCACCACCTGCTTCTTCATCACCGCCAGCTGAAACTGAGCATCACTTTGCAATGGGAGACTTCCCCGTGGCAGAGTTTGCCTAAACTGCCTGTCAGGTCTGCCACCAAAAAGTAGTCAGGGCAAGATGCGGGGGGATCAAATGAGCATCTATGAAAGGAGTATTTTCCAAGGATCAGGTTGGCTGTGGGCCATGGGAACTTCAGGAAAGGCTACCTCAGCCTTCCCACACAGTCTTTGCAGGATAAATTCCAAAGCCATGCTTCCACAATAAATGGGCTTGGGGTCAACAAACGCCCAGGTTTGGAGCCCCAGGTCCCAGCCCTAGGACTTTGCCTGCAGGATAAGGTGTGACTAGGAGTAAGAATGGAAAATGCTGACAGAGGCATAGGATAAGACTCTCCGGCGCCAGCCAAGAGGTGTCTCAGCCAGAACCCCCACCCCGGACAAAGACAACATGATTTCCTTATTCCAGAAGCTCAGGTCATGATTACTGAAAGTGCTGCCAACAAAATGTCATAAGTTTGAAGGTGGTACTGCCCCCATGGAGTTAGTCTTTTGTTTTGTAGGACCAGGGTCAGGACTTGCCATGCTGTGGGGAAAACGAAAGATCCTCCCCTTCCCCAAGCAGATTATTTGCTTTCCTTTCCCCAATTCTGTTACTGGGGTTCTTTGAAAACAGCCCCATTTTTTGTGGATGAAGCAAACAGCCTGGGCAATGCTCAGGGATTTTAATAAGTCCCGGAACCAGAAGACAGATTCATGGAAAAATCCCACCAGGAAGCCAGGATGGGAGCAGCTCCTGCAGGCAATGGAGATGTTGGCATTAGCAGGCTCCCATCACCCTCCTCAAGAGGCAGCTGTCAACATCTGGGCCTTTAGTGGGGTCAGACAAGAGGGCTGGAGCTTGGTCTATGATGACTCAGCTCTCTTAGGTCGTGCTGCATCCAAGATGGCTCCAGCAGGCATGTTCTAAAAGGCACCTTCTCTATCATAACCCTGATGCAGGATTCCTTCCGGCCACCAGCTCAGCAAAAACCAGCGACTGGCTGGTTGGGAGTTCCATTGCTTCAACCTTTGCAGGCCTCATGGCCTCACCTCCCCATTAGCAGGGATTCTCTCCACAGGAGGGCCCTCTAAGAGCCCAGGATGACACAGAAAAACAACTTTCTGAGCAGCTTGTTTGATAAGCCCTTAGCACAGCTAAATAAAGTCTCAGAAAACGCACCATCCTCACTTGAATTATAAGATCAATCTCTACTCACTGGGACACACCCTCCACCCTCGTCTGAGCAACCCTGACCAACTTGAGTGCAGTTTAGTATGTACTCCTCTCTGCTTCCCCTGCAAGGAAGGAAGACATTTATAATTTAAGTAGGAGAGAGGAGGCTTGCCTCTTCCTTTAGGCTATGTGGAAGACTAATGGTCAATTTTGTAGATGGTAGACAGAGAAAACCAGCTCTCCACTTAGCCAGAGAAGCACCTCTATTGAGTTTTAAGAGGAAGTCTTATGAACTACTAGTATGAGGAAAGGGAACTTTAACTTTAACCTCCACTCAAGACTTCAAATAATAATAAATAACATTCATGGAAGCAGCTACTGTTTGTGAAAGAACATTGCCTGGTATCCAACTCTGCTAACCCTGCAATGATTTTCTCCTTGAATTCTCACCATCACCTTGGAGGAGCACACCCATTGTGCAGAGGAAGAACAAAAGGTTAGAGCTGGCAAGACCAGAGCAGGACTGGAATTCAGACAGCACAGGCTTCTGTTTGCACCCCTAACCATGCAGCCCTGACTTAAAATAACTTCTTCATATTCAAGGAAAGGTATGAAAGCGCCAATCACTTGCAGTCTTCAGTTCTTCCAGTCTCCCCAGTTGGCTACCAGCCCTCAGGGAACCTCATCAAAACTTTCCTGGGCTCTCAACCAAACCAGCAGGGAAATGAAGCCAGAGAGCTTCCACAAGCCTGGCCCCAGTCAGGGGAATTTTCAGTGTAGAGAGTGGCGGCTGGGGGGTTGAAATCTATCACTGAAGGAAGACTCTAGTTATTTTCACTCACAATTCCATTTTCTTGGCCATCCTTCTGTCACCTCACATACTCACTCTGCTTTACACTAAGAGTTTACATTTTTAGTTTTCTTAGAATTTGAATGTGCCTCACTGGTAGCATCTCAGAACAAAGCAGACCATAAAAAAGGAAATCCTGCAGGGGTAGAGAATCCCCTCTCCTCCCACCCAGAAAGCAGAACTTAATGGTCAGGCAGGCCTGTTTAAGGATGGAGCCTCCAGGTCCAGATCTGTGGGGAAGGGAAGGAGGAGCCTGGGTAAGAGGAAGCCAGAGAAGAGAGTTCTAGAATACTGAATTAGCAGGGGTGAGGAGCCTAACACACGCAGACCCGTTATTTGTAGCCTGACCTGGCAGGTCTGACCCTGCATTTTTCCCTGTGGGGAGGGGCAGAGCATTAGACTGCAGATGGCTCAGTACAGCCTGGCTGAAGAGAATCAAGAGGCATGTTAAATATCCATGCCACCCACCATCCCGTCCTCTTGACTTACCCTAGGGAGAGGAGTTGGGAAATATTACAAGAACCTAACAGTTGTACTTTCTGAATGAATGGGCAGTTTCAGCTCTGCTCATTCAGTCTCAGAAGGTTCTTTCAGTCAAGGTTGTTTAACCCTTTAACAACTCAGCAAAAAGATCTCAGGGCTGCTGGAGAACCCACCCGCTGCTATTGCTATCCACGACCTTCGCTTGGTTCATAGTAACAGCATCTCAGTTTAATTATATTCCAACCAAATAATGATTTATTGCTCCTAAAAGACCTTAAGGGGGGGGAGTGGGGAGTGTGTCAGGGATTTGTCCTCCCTGCACCCTGCAGTGGAAGACAGTTTCTGCTGAGAATGGTCCTTTAGAAGAATAAAGCAGTTAGGCAGCTGAATTTGCTCCTCCCCTCTCCCACACCAGCACTAAGGAGTTCACCTCTGGCCAAAATCTGTTAGAGACCACAAAAGAAAACAGCTGCTTTTCATCACTTTGTTCTATCACCAATGATCAGTTCCCAACCCTGTACCTGTTCCAATCAGCTGAACCCCAAAATCCCAGCACAAGGGTGAGCCGAAGTCTAGCTGTACCTTGCTTTGGACAATTCTGATGGCTTCAAATTCAGGCTGCAATATATTACCCCCAGAAGTGTTTTCTGCTCAGATCCCCTTTAAGAGGGATTAGTAGTCAAGAGAGAAAAGAATGGAACTAGAAGAAGCCTGTTAACGACTAGCACAGTTTGGGAACTACTGGGACGCAACCATAGAAACCTAGACCACCAGGGGAAGACCTGTAACTGTCACCAAGATCATTTTAATAATCTCACCACCCTCCAGAAATGACTTACAGTAATAGATTTTAGCTTACTCCTCTGATAGGGGTAGGAAATGACTTTCCCTTCCCCCAGCCAAAAAGAAAGACTGGTGAACAAGAGAAACCTCTCTTCTGCAAATGGCCACCTGCCCCAGAAGGGCCCCTTCCCTCCTCCGATAGATCCAGCACATCTGTGCTCCCTCCCCAGTGCCCTTGCTTCCTCCACCGACTGTCCTTGGAAAGAACAATCAAATCGCAGCTGAACGGTGGAGTCTCTTAAGCCCAGCCACATGTCCCGGATACATCCCCAGCCTTGTCAGCTGTCCGGATCTGCAGGGTGGCCCCAGACCCCTGAGAGCCAAGAATACCCCGCCTCTTACATCATGCAACACCCCATACCTCCTGTGCCTAAAGAGGCTCCCTTCCAATTAGGCCTTCCACTAGGAGTCCAGTAGAAACAAGGCCATGGTCCTGGACACTCACTAGTTGCTCTGCTGACCCTCAGCCCCTTGGGAGAAGCTTCTTTTTCCCCTCTGCAGACAGAGAAACTAAGGCCCAACTAAGCTTAGCAGTTTTATGCAGTGTCACTCATCTGCTCTTCGATGATCCCTAGTTTGGTCCAGAAGGGGTAATATAATTTTCAGTGTGTTGCTCTTCGTCACTTTCTCCCTCTGGCTCTTGTGAAAAAGCAAAAATAAATTACAATGAGTTACTGCTTTCCCTTCTGTCAGGGCTAGCCATGAGATGGAATCCCTTCTGCGCTCGTCATTCCCCTTCCCTTAAACATAGTCATGTCACATCCCCAAATGCAAAAATGTTAGGTATATCCCCAAATTCAGAGGTTTATGCAAGAATCCTCCTCCAAGTTATCCTCACCAGGGAACTTCCACCTCAGAAGGGGCTGGATGATAGGCACTGTGGATTCAGAACCAAATTCAAAGCCCTAAACTCTTAAAGAACACTGAACTTCTCTGTAAAAAGAAGGGGGGCTCCTTGCTACCAACACGTGGGCCTTGCCCTAGAGGATGGCTGAAGGAAAGAAAAATGTAGGCGTGGGGAGATACAAGATGTCACAAGAGATTTTTAGCATCAGAAATTGGAAGCAGAAGGCCCCACAGGTTGCCCCAAAGTGTTAGACCCCATAGCAGACACACCTCATGGGTCACTTCTGGGGCTGCTAAAAATGGGGGTTTTCAATTTTTTAATCACTGACTTTCTAATTTTGCACTGAAAGTTCTTCTTCACTTTCATACAAGTCAGCCAATGCTCTGGACAAAGGCAATGCAAGATTTCCCAGTTATAAGAAAGCAATATGAATCAGACAGAGGTAGAATTACAAAAAGCCTCATCCCTCCACCTATTCTGGGTGGGTGAAAACAAAAGTGACATCCGGGAGCTCCAAATTCTCACCAGTCTCCAGCCTCTGCCCAGTGTTAGCCAGGAATCTTTCTATGTTTTCTGTCTCCTCCTATCAAGCCCAACCAAGGCTTTAAAGAGTCGTTGCCATTGCAGAGGGTAATCTGGAAAAGGTCGTGGGAATAAGCAGGAAAGCATTTCCACTCTACAAAAAGAGGGATGGTTCCTGAGTTCAAATCTAAAAAGGAAGATAACCAAGAGATGTCATTCTAGTCTCCCTCACCCTAGTTGACCAACACTGGACAGTAAGATTTCAGAAATCTGCCACCAGAATGCTTGGGTACTGTACTAGCTCAGTTGGTCAGTGTGCGCACTGCTCACATTAGGATTTGCCTGGAGCCTGCTGGCAAGCAAGGACCCTCCCAAGGGCTGGGAAAGAGGAAATTCGATTTCACACTGGACATGTCTAGAACTTATTTCCCATCCTTCTGCTGAGAGAGGGAGGAAGGGTCTAAGTGCAAGCCCACCCCCCCCCCACCTTCTTGCTAGTGGGCCCCACACCCACACACTGAGGGAAAGAGCTTAAAATTTCAGATATTTAAGCTCCATTCCTGTGAAAATCCAAAGAACTCTAAACATTGTGAAATCACTAGTGCAATATTATGTGGGGCTTCAAGCCACACCAAGCTTATTAAGAGAGTGATAAACCCACATTTCCTAAATGCTCTGGGGCCTGCCTTCACCTTCCAGCTTTGTATCCCTGAGAAGCTGGCTAGAAAGACTGGAGAAGCCTTGGTCAGCTAAGTAGAAATGCACTTGCTCCTGCCCCTCCTCAAAGTGGAGAATCACACCACTGATTTGGAGGCAGGAAAGAGAAGGTTCCCACTGGGTGTGGGCACCCCACTAATCATGCCTTTCCTTTCAGTACTAAACATGCTGGGGGGGCTTCCCGAACCAACATGCGCCAGAAGGCAGGCTCCTTCCCTCAACCAGGCCTGCCAATATGGATGCCCATCCAGCAGCTGGTGAGTGAGACAGCCAGCAGCTTTCCCCCTTTGCTTACCAGCAAGTCCTCTCCAGTCCACTCCCTTCTCCCAAGGACTATCGCTCAGTCTGTCATGCCAAGCAACCATTTTCGCCTCTCTTGCTTCCTCTGCCCACAACCCCCGGCCCCCAATCAAAGAGAATTGAGAAACCATCTTCTTGCACAAGAGCCGCTACTGTCTAAATGCTTTTTGATCGTCTGCATGGAAGGGAAACTGGGCACAGCCTGGCCCTAGTGATGGAGCCAAGCTCCAGCTGCCCAGACTGGTCAAACCCGCCCTTGCCCCCCTTAGTGCCCCCGTGGTCATGGCGATGCAGAATTTTCAGAACGTACCGTCTCTATCCCTCTCGTCTCTATCCTCTCCTCTCGGTGATGTCAAGCCTGGTACCAACAAGGAAGGAAGGAGGGAAAGCAGAAGCCTTATCTCTCCTAGGCATGCAACCTCTTCCTCCAGCTCCCACACGCCTGGCGTTATGTAAACGCATCTTCAGCCCCCACCACAGCCTTAGCACGGTCCGGGGGCCCCTGGGCCTGACACAGCTAGGTGCCGGGGCATGGGGAGGCACAAGGAGGCCGCGGAGCCTCAGGCCCTACAGAGGCCTGAGAAGGGAAAAGCAACTGCAAGTCAATTGCACAGCATAAAATGCGGCAGCAGAGCAAAGGTCAGACGGCAGAAAGCCGCCTGGTCAAAGAGAGGGAAAAGAAATGCCCAGTTCCGGGCCGGCCCCGCGCCGACCATCGAAGGGGAGACAGAAAGGGAGAAAACCCAGTTCGTCCCTGCTCAAAGGGTAAAAAAAAACCTACGTCGAGCATAGGCCGCTGCGGCAGGCTAGAGAGATCAACGGCAGAGCTCACAGGGTGGGCATCGGGCCGGGATGAGCGACCCGGCCAGGGCGAGGGCGCCCGCCGGACCCAAGAGGTGGCTCCTCACGGAGCCCAGAGGTACCCGTTCCAGCGTCCGAAGGGGGTAGTGGCTGGAGGAGTAAAGAGGCCAAGCCACAGACAAACTCCCGGGACACGCACGGGGCTTCCTGAGTCAAAGAGAGCTGGAAAGCCGGGGTTGGCAATGCCCGGGGGGTCGGAAACGCCGGTGCCAGGCTGTGAACACCCCAGGCGCCGTGCCGGCCCAGCCGAGGGCGTCAAGGAGCTGCGGCGCACCGCAGAAGCTCAAGGAGGCGCAGGGAGAGCGAAGGAACACTGAGGCGCGCCTAGAAATAGCGCACCATTTGCCCCAGCCGGAGAGGGTGTCGCGTCGCGGCTCAGAGTGGGGCACTTTCGGATCCCGAAACCGGCCGAAGACTTACTTTGAGGAGCTGCAGAGTCACAAGCATTGCTCCACGTCAGTGTATATCCCCGAATTTGAGCAGGTCAGACGCCGATGTCCTCGCAGACGCCGGCCGGAGCAACCGGCAACGGCTCCCTGCGCTCCACAGCGCCAGCTCTGCGCTGTCAGCTCCTCTCGCAGCCTCCGCGGCGATGTTGCAACCACTGCCTGGGAAAATGGCTTTTTTATGAATGGGAGGGAAGGGAGCTCCAGTGCGCACGCGCGTCTTTCGCGATTCTATGAATGGGTGGGCACAAGAGACCCCGCGCGCGCATGCGCCGCGCTCCTTTTTTTATGAATGGGGGGCCGGAAAAGAACTTAACCCGTGGTTGCTGGGGCTGGCTCTTGCTCCTCTTAGAGCCGTCGTTCTTTTACAAAGAGGGGTGGAGGTTGTTGTTGCCTTTTTTTTTTTTTTTTTTTTTAATGAATGGAGGGCGGCGGCGACTGCTGCAGCTGGCTCAGCTGCGCGGGCTGTACCCCCTCCCAGCCTGCGAGAGGAGGTAAAGGCCACCTTCATGCCACTGCGGGCCTGGGCAGGAACCGTCAGTGTCGCTGGGGGGAAGGAGGGGGGAGACTCTCAGGCCTCTGGGTCCTGGGCCGAGAGCCGGGTTGGGGGAAGACACACCTAGATCTAAGGATCTCTGCTTGTCACAGGCTGTCGGGGTAGGGAACGGAAGATCCCTGCTGGGTGCCTTCTCTTTCTCTATATTAGGGCGTCGTGGGGATGGGTCTGGAAGCAGCGTTTACCAAAAATTAAGAAAATGTCAAAACATTCTTGTCCAAAAAGGGCGTAGTGGGGCTTGCTGAATAAATCTGGTTCTTTCCAGTAGCTGAGTCTCCCTGAGTGCGTGCAGACCACCCCTCCCCCATTTCTTGGGTGTGGACAGCGACAGGGCCGAGGCCTCTTCCGGCTCCAGTACCCCCCGGAGCGATGCTGGTTACTCTGCTAGAGGAGACCTGGTTCTCGCCTAGCAGCGTCCTCTTCGCTCTCCGTCCACCCCCCACCCCCATCCCCAGTGCAATGTCCGCAGTGCCCGGGTGTCTGCCCGAGATGCCACCTTGGGCAGCTGCTCCCCCTCAGCCCATTGCGTTTTCCAGCCCGTATGGGACGCGGGCCTGAGGAGCCTCTGTCCACCAAAGAGCACGGCCCTTTGCTGCTAGGCCTCCTTCCCCAGCTACCCCAGAGCTCCCCTCAGGGGAAGCGGGAAAGACCAAGGATTGTCCAGGTGGATGGGTGGAGCCGGCAGCGCAGAGGATGCTGCGGGGGTGGCCACGGGATTAAATAACAACAGGGTTCTTGAGCCGCAGAGGAAATGGAAATGGCCAGGGATCTTTTCTTTGCAGTTAATGACGGAGGGAGGGGTGGGGGGAAGCTCATCTGGCTAGGCCGGTGAAAAGAAAAGCCCCCGCCATTAGGGCTGACTCCAGGAAGGCGGGGAGCCCTCGCAGCAGGCCCAGCTCCGCCCAGGAACAGAGGAGGCCATAGCCTCCGGGGAGGCCGGGGTAGGGGAGGGGGGGTTCTTTGATTGGGGAGATACGAGCTGGACTTGGGCCTGAATCCCTGTAAGGTTAGCCTTGCTGGTGTTCTGTCTTCACCGGAGGTTGTGAGACTGCCTTTCCCTGGCCCCCCACCCCCAGCCCACTCCACCACAGGACTGCACTTGGCTGTAGTCAGAAGAGAGAATGAAACTTGCCGCCTAGGCCAGAGGTCTGGCCTTGGGCTAGGGCTGGGGCTCTGGAGACCGGCAACCTAAAGGATATTTTGCAAACCCAGACCAGAGGCCAAGGTCACCGAGTCCCAGTCTAAAATGCTTTCTGGCCTTTCTGACTACCTTCCTCTGTGATTTATGTTCTGGAGGCAGAACAGACCCCTTCCTAGGGGATCTCAATCTCCTTTCAGGGTCAAGATGTTCCTCTAAAGTCAAGAGGAAGACTATTAGGACAATAGAGTATCTTACATTTGTTCAGAAAGTCCCTTTATTAATATTGAAGCTTGATATTATTCCCATTTGTCAGATGTAGAAATTGGGGCCAAGAATCCTGCATCTGGTTAATGGAAGATGTGTAGTGTTGATATATGGTAGTGTTAAATGGTAGTGATAAATGGTAGTGTTGATTTTCTGGATCTTTCTGCTTTGCTACCACCCCTTCTCAGTATCATAAACCTAAAAACCTATTTCTTGCAAGTCATTTAAGCATGTTAAACAAGGAAAGTTGGAGCAGTAATTTTCCAGTGAGTGCTAGCTGATGGTCCTTGTTCAAACAATTGAATAAATAAATCATTTTAAGCTATGGAAGAAAATCAGTGTGGTGGGGGTAGGGGAGTGAGTGTTTCCAGTGTCCTGTTTCCTTTTTTAGAGAAATTAGCCAAGAGACATACAGAGTTCCATTCCTGGTCTCTGTTCAGCTTTTCTGAAAGAGGAAGTGAGGAGGTCCCAGCTTTGATGGGACTGTGGGAAAATGGAGGACCCCCTATTCCTTAACTGGGAGGAATTTCAGATGCCTAAGCAGTGTGTGTTCGTCATAGTGTCCAGAAGGGCATTGAGGACCGTATTTTGTCCCTCCTGGGAACCTAAAGAGAGAAGTATGGGGCAACTGTATGAGAATTCATTCATTCACTCATTCATATATAATGTGCCAGGACTTGCCCTAACTCTGGGGACTCTGGTGAGAGACAGACAGCTTTCCTCTCCCTGGTGAAGCTCACAGTCCTTTGGAGAAACAGACAGACTGCAATATGAGCCTAGGATAAGTGCGAGGAGGATAAGTAACTTGGATTCAAGGCTACAGGGTGGGCGTGGGGTAAGGACCTGATTTAATTTGGGCTTTAGGGAGTATCTCGCAGAGGGGTTTATCATTATGAGTTGAGCCCTGAAAACTGAGGAGTGAGTCTGAAGGAGTTTGTGGAGACCTATCAGACAGCACTAGACTAGATGGAGGCCCGGTGTAGGGAAAAGCCTGGCATGGAGGTGCTGTGGCCTCTGTGTAGCCACAGCTTGGCCAGCAAGGTTGAAGTGGCCTGGAGAAAGTGCAGATATTACCCTACTAAAGGTTTTAAGCTGGATCATGGCACACCCTCATTTGTGTTTTTAACCTCTTCAGCAGCCCAAGGGCCAGTGGTTGGGGGAGAGAGAGGACAGAGGGAATGATGGTGGGGAATGCTAGACATTTGCCCCTGAACTGGTTGGCGATGCCACATTTATTCTTTAGGATCGGGTAGCCAGTAGATATGTACTGGATTTTTTTTTCTGCTTCATCTGACTTTGTCCATTCTCAGTCTCTTCCCCAGGTCTAACTTCTTTGCTAAAGGCAAATTCTAAAGGCTTGGCTTACCTGCCTATGTTAATTACAGGCTTTTTACCCTCACCTCAGTATGAAGGGCTTTACCCTACCAGATGGTAGCTAGGGTAATAGAGTGGCTTCAATTCTGGGTTTTCCTTCTTCATTCCTGGCCTTGCCAGGACCTGGGAGCTAAGTTAGTAGGAATGAGAGGAGGCAGGGATTCCTATTCAAGGACAGACATTTATGGAGCACTTGCTGTGCAGGTCCTGTGCGTGGCATGTTTTTGTGTGTAATTTTACTTTAAAAAATTGTATGGCTGTGTTCGGTTTTATTATCACTCTTTTTCAGATAAGTCAGTGGCTCTGTTTTAATTATTTATTAATTCTAAAAAAATTATTATGTACTTCCTGTGTGTCAGGCAAAATGCCAGGTGTTGGGGTTATAGTGATAAAAGATATTTTTGTCCTTATAGTGCTTAGAATTAATAGTGACACAATGATGTGGGATTGGAGGTACAAGTAAGGGGTTGGGGGTGGGTTTACCTTCCTCTATAATCTTCATGAGCACCCTCATTCATTTCTACACTTCATTGCCATTTCTCAGTCTTTTATCAAATACTAAGTGCTGTAAGCCAAGCCCCTGGACTCAAAAAGATTACTTGCCCCCACATAAATAAAAATTCTGGAACTGCTGTTTATAATCAAGTTTATAATCAAGATACACATTAAACAAATAATTGTTCAAGGATGATTTAATTACAGTGAACATCAATGCATTAGAAAGTACAGAGAGCAAAGGAGGGGGGCACATTGGGCCTCCTGGAGAAGTTTCCTTGGAGTTCAGATAGACAGAATGTACATTCAGTGGCTAAAGGCTCAAAAGTAGGACGGAGACTTGGGAATGCTAGAGCAACTGAAGGAGCCATAGAAACCCTAGTCCTTTGAGGAGGGGAGGATGTGTCGGACCCAGAGCTTAGAACTCTGTTCTAGCAGTAGATCCTAGGCATTCTGACTCTCTGGAAAGCTGTGTCAGCCTTGGATGCTGAAGAGCCTGAAGGACTAATATCCAGACACTGACCACAGACTGGTCAGTTCAGTCCTAGGCTACAAGCTCCTCATCATTGGACAAGGTATTCATATTTTATGTGCCCCTGTTTTCTCCTCTGTTATATGGCAACGAGTGGTAGTGCTTATAGTAAAGGGATGGACTTGAATGGAATCACACAAATAATATGCTTTGAGGGCCTCCCTGGTGGTGCAAGGAGTGAAGTCTCAGCACTATGAAGCTATCAGCAGTCACTGCAGCAAGAGTTCTATCCCCAGCCAGGGAGGGACCTGGCACAGCAGACCTCTCCTGTCTTACCCGCTGCTCCCCTCAGCAGTGTATTTCAGTACATCTGCCTGTTCTGCTTTCCACTTTGTCTCTGGTGAATCCTCTCACCACCCCCACCCCCGCACCTCTCTGGACTGCACCCCAGCTCTGGTATGCATAAATAAATAAAGTAAATCTTTTTTAAAAAATACTTTGAATTATAAGTGCTGAATACACATTTGGAAGATTATTCAACATTCCCAGTAATTTTGATACAAGGAATGAGTTAGAATTTTAAAAGGAAACCTCAGCGAGAGAAAGACATTCTAAAAGAACAAGAATGTCTTTATCTATAAATAGTTGAAACAATATAGCACCTATCACTCCACCTCTGCTTAAATGAAGACGATTTTGCAGGGTAAAAGTTGTATTTTCAACT